GAAAGCAGGTATGAATCATTTGGAAAATTTACATTTGTAGCACACAATTCTTATGGATTTACATATATCATCCCTAAATTTTCATATTACATACATAGCATTTGGTGCTTTAACCTATGCATCGATTAGTGTATTTCACTTTTAATAAGTAATAATAGTGTTAATTTTGATGTGATATTAAAGATTTGAGTTGAGAGCAGCAGCAGGCCTTCATTAAATTGAGTTCTCGTAACGTCCATAAGAGAGTTTCCTCTAACCCAAGGATCTTATGGTGATTCACATGAATGTTTTAGTCATACCTAATTTCCTTATTGAGATTGTTCGTTTGCATAGGTTCATTCAGTCTGAACGGGTGCTTGATTGTAAATTCCATGGGAATGACAAGGTTTATGTGTTTCCATCGAAGTGCTTATCATTGTTTCAGGCACTTCATTGTTTTGCTTTTTTCTTCTTTGTTTGTTTTCCTTGAAAGTATCAAATTTATGGCTTCTGGGATTGACTAAAAATTGTAGAAGTTTATTTTTTACATGTTTAGCTTGGAAAGAGAATTTCTACTTTTGATGTAGAAGGCTGTCATTATTCTGCTCCAAACAGTTTAACTAAACAGGGGCAGAATTGTCATTTTTCCAAAAACAGCTGCCCCACAGCTGTTTTCACGCAGCTACAACAAACAACCAGCCAGCTTCCCCGCATCAGCTTTCCCACAGCAGCTTCCTGAGACAACGCAGCTGCAGCTGAAAAGCGCAGCTTCAGCTGAAAAGTTGTAAAGCTGCAGCTGCGCCAAACAGAACGCAGCTGCAGCTGAAAAGTTGGAAAGCTGCAGCTGCGCCAAACAGAGCCTTAATTATATGCTAAAACTATGAAATCCAATGAACATTCTCAAATTCAAGCTTATCACACATTGTTCATAAAACACACTCAAGCATATAAGATTGTTGCACTGATCGTATAAGTAGATGATATGATTCTTACTAGTAATGATGAAAGAAAATTTCTTCAAATCAAAAGAAGTGTTGGCCTCTGAGTTTAAAATCGAGGACATTGGAAACATGACCTATTTTTTAAGTATAAAGGTAGCAAGATCCAAGAAAGAGTTTGTTATATCAAAGAGAAAATACATCCGAGATCTGTTAAAATAAACATGAATTATTGAATTCAAACCTGTTGATACTCTAATGGAACCGAATAATAAATCTAACAATGAAGATGAAAGTATGTATGTGGATAAGAGAAGATATCAAAGCTTGGTAGAAAAACTCATCTATCTGTCACATATTAAGCCAAATATTGCATACTCTGTCAATGTTGTAAGCAAACACATGAATTGCCCAAATGAAAAACATTTGGAGATGATTTACAAGATTTTGAGGTTTCTCAAAGAGATTCCTGGTTATGGATTTATTTTTGAGAAAACCAGGAACAGAGAAATGAAAGTCTACACTGATATTAATTGGGTAATAGAACTAGTTGACAGAAGTTCCACCACACATTATTGCTCATATGTATAAGAAAATATGATTACATGGAGAAGAAAAAAAGCAAGTTGTTGTTTTGAGAAGCGGTGAGCATAGAGAACTTGCCTTGGGGATCTATGAAGAGATTTGGATTCAAAGTTTTTTAAGAGAAATGAGATATTTTTCAATGGACCTTTACAGAAATTTTGTGACAATCAAGCAGCAATGAATATTGCCAAAAATCTTGTGCATCATGATCGGACCAAGCATATTAAAATTGATAGATAGTTCTTCTCAAAAAATGTCAGCAGGGGAATTATACAGCTGAGCTACATCCCGAAATACCAACAAATTTTTGATATCTTCAACAAAACTCTTCCTTTCAGCACCTTCTAATAATTCAATATCAGGTTTGGTGTTTACAACATCTACGACCCAGCTTGAGGGAGAGCATAAAAATCTGAGAAAATTTGTTCCTATCCACATTTAACTCTCATAATAGTTGGCGACCGCCTCCAAATATTTGAGGATTTGATTGGGATATCTTAGGAGACCTTTTATTAGTTTACTCCCTATTTCATTTTTTTTTTTTCATATTTGCAAATAAGGCTTGGTTTTAGATATCTTAGGAGACCTTTTATTAGTTTACTCCCTTCCTATTTCATGTTTTTTTTTTCATATTTGCAAATAAGGCTTGGTTTTCCTATATATAGGTACCCCATTTGTGAATAACGAATTAAGCATTTTTTCTTCCCAAATAAATTCCACACAAACCAACATTGTGTGTGACTTTAAATCCAAGAAACAAAGGCTAAGAAACATAAAAGAAAACCTTGACAGAGAAATCAATTCAACGGTAGGAAGAAGAAAGCAACGCATTAATAATGTCAAGCGTATTAATATAACAACTGAATTTAACAAGAACAAGTAAATGAAAAAATAAACTTCGACAGAACACTCAAAAGAGCAACCCATCCATCTTGTTAAATGCAACATTTATAGTCATTATAATTTCTTTCTAAGTTATCAAGCTACTTGCATCCCAACAGCAGAATCAAGTTGGATTTTTAAAGGTCTAATCCAATACAATAACATAGTTGGGACAACAAAATCTAACATTCTCAATAAAGCTACAAAAAACTAGTCCTTAAAAAAATACCATACACCCATTCACTTCATGCTGGACAAAGGTACTCTTAGCAGATTGACTACCCATCCAGTATATCAGCTGCTAAACAACTTTACTGAAAGCTTACAGGAAATGCAAGCCTCATTGATCAAAATAACAATTTATGCGAGTAATTTAAAAAAGAGGAAAAACTAAGGTTACTCCCCAGCAAATAATTTATTGGTTTATCTGGAATTTAAAAAATGAAAATCTGATGCAGCAGCAGGTAATTGTCAGTATTTTTGTAAGTTCAAAGTCCAAGAACTATGATAAACAAACAGATACCAGAGCCTCTTCTCCATGGTTCTACCGTTCAATAACTACTAGCTGCAGTTGAAAACCTCTCAAACAATTAATGCCAATACTGGAACATTGAATCCTAGTGTACATCGAAAATATAACTATCATTCCCTATTTTTCTATTTAAGAACATAACAGAGCCCTGATTATAGGTTATATTTTCCCCCTTTTCCTGCCTAATAGAAAAAGAAGAGAGATATGCTTCCCAACATCCCTGACTGAAGATTGAGCCGACTGGTGTTACCTAGTTGCCTCTATCCACAATAGACAAAGGTTGTCAATCCAACCTAAAATCCAAGATTTGAGCAAAACTATTCACACGCATGTGTCAAATTACACAAAAATAGTTATTATTAAGGCAGTGATATTCATATAGTAAATTGAAAGCAGTACGCAAAGGACTTACAGGATCATTTCCAGAAATGCTGCCTAGTCGAGATTGTGCATTAGCAAGAAGAAGAATTATATGTTCTCGTTGGTTGGAGACATTGTCTTTCTGCACCAAAGTTGAAAATAACATTGAACAAAGTGCTAAATTAGAATTTATTCAAACAAACAAAAAAGCAAGAATAAGTTCAATGATACAGTATGATATGTATCACTGCATGTGTGTGTTGGCATGTATGAAAAATTGTGCCCCAAATCCATGTCTGTGTGTGCATTTGAGCCACAAAAATATATTTCAGCACCATAGTAAAATCACCGTACAAATGCAAAGATGGAAAAGCACCAACTCAGCAACAAACAGGCTATTGACACATAATAACACATGCACATTTACAAAAGGCATGCCCAATCCAATCTTGACATCGATAGAAAAGAAGCTTGTCAAACCATAAGGACAGATTAAAAATAATTGTCAAACAAATTTTCAATTATTCCAAATTATTTCAGTAGGAAAAAAGTAGACCATGTGCTGCATCATGATGTCATAAATTAATCCATGAAAGTTCACTCAAGTTAGATATGAAAAAATGTATTAAGGTAGAGTTTAAGTCCAAAGGAGAGACCAAGTGAGATTCGGAGATTTAGGAGATATATTCCGGTAACTCAGTCAACGATTATTTAATTAAATCTTGAAAAAAAATATATCAAATGATTGAATAAGCTTATTTATTGTAAAATAACAGTTGTAGCGTTAAGGATGATGGTTATGATTGTCTAATTAAACATATGAGCCATACAGTGCAATGTGATTAAAGATATTGATGCAAAAAAGAATCAATTTCTCATCATACCAAGAGAAAGAAATATAACATTTTGTGAGCACCAAAAAATAGCTCCCTAGAATCTCATTCACAGCTTTGTATTCATTTTGGGTCAAACTCTCATAAGACAGATGAAACAGTAGATAAATACTACCCAAAGATATTGCCCTCACTTTGTGAGGACTTTAATATGAATTTCAAGGTTTCCCAAAACCACAAGCCCCTATGATTAATCATCCTTCCCGATAACAGGAAAGCACATATGATTGAAGTTAGTTAATAAGCACTAAATATTCATTATATAATAGCAGCAAAAACTAAGGTCTAAATTATAAAATCTTATCACTTTGAGCTTAGAGCAGATGATGGGGGAAATGGGGATAAACTCGATAAATATCTCATGATTTCATCTTCTCAGGTCATCATTGTCCATGAATTACTTAGACCGAGAAGATAGTTAACACAACCTGACAGAAGTTTTTGTTGTCAACAATCATGGATTGCATCTCCAACAAACCTTTTTAGATCTTGGGTGGATGTTTGTCTAAGAAGACAAATCTAAGTTTATCGTAGCTAACAGAAGACTTTGTACTAAGCAAATATACTCTTATAGTTCACAACTGAAATGGTAGAAAATTATAGGGAAATACACATGCTACATTAGTTACCCTAACTTAATGATGACATTTGGCACCAAACCACCGGTCCTAGGGATCTGGCCGCAACTACTATTTTTTGTGAGGTAGATGGACCAAAGAACACGAACAGAAAACTGCTCCTTAGCAGTGTAAGATTATTTTGAGTGTGAATATAATGATACACCTAATATGACGTTAATTATTTTTTAGTTGAAATCAATCAAAAATTTATAACTCATAACAAATGGGAGAGAGTGGTGGAGAGAATTTGCATTAAGCTTTGAAACTAGAATGTTTTAGAATTTGCATTAAGCCGTCAAGTGATTGGTTTTAACTTGAATGTCTTAATTTGTTATTTGAGAACTTAATCCGAAAATTAATTTACAAGTTCACCCTCCAATTGAGATCAGCAGTCAACATGATCATCATTGGAGATTTGTTTGATTGTTTGATTTGAATTATGTCAGCTTTACAACTTCCTCATAAAAGATTAGGTTCGAGATTAACGCATGATTGTACATGAACTTGTCAAAGCTGTCCTAATAAGAGATGACCAAGTTCATAATATATATGATTTGCATTTATTTAATTAGACTTTTGAAAATTAATTTTTAAATTAAACCCCTCTGATTGAAATTTTTTAGCAACTTTACAATCATTAGAGATTTATATAACTTAGGGTATGTTCGGGACAGCTGCAGCTGCTCACCTTTTCAGCTGCAGCTGCGTTGCCCTAGGAAGCTGTTGCGGGGAAGCTATTGCGGGGAAGCTGCTGCGGAGCTGTCTGTTTGGTGTTGCTGGGAAGCTGTTGCGGGGAAGCTGCTGCGGAGCTGTCTGTTTGGTGTTGTTGTATGTAAACAACTGTAGGGCAGCTGTTTGAGAAAAAATGACCATGCTTCCCCTGTTTGATAAAATTGTTTAAAAGACTATAAGGGCCAGACTTTTGAAACTTCAGACGCCAAAATTCATTTATAAATAAAACAAAATGTTCAGATACACCACTCACTTAACATTAAGCCCCGAAAAGCACAAACATGAGACTTTTAAAGCTAAATTTTAATTACAAAAAAGTTCAAAATTACAGGTATACATCTCACGTCACAGTGACGTTCAAGAGAGCAAAAAAGAAGTCTAAAACAATTACAATGACAACTAATAAGATGATTATATTATTTTTAACATTGAGACAGTTTAGATGTCGTGCTAGACTTTCCTCGAGTGATGCTCTTCATTCTTGATCATTGTCGTCAAGGGAATCCGTCGAACCGTCTGCCCAACGGAAGAAGCAACACTGTTCAAAGATGCTCCGTGGGCAGCATAGAACTTTCTCCCGTAGTTGTGTGGTTGACATGACATCAACATGAAAGTTTGGAGGCCACAGTGGTAGACCAGTCGTCGGGATGTCCCGGAGATTCTTGAGCTCATGTTTTTCTGATTGCAACAGTATATGAAATAACAGTGACATTTCTTTAAGAAGATTAGTGACATTTCTTTAAGTATCAACCACTATAATAATTACTATCAAAAATATCTTCTTTAAGACTAATTAGTGGCATTTCTATAAGAATCAATTAGCGGCATTTTTTTTTAAAATAATAACAAATGAAAAATTCTCCAATGGAGTCGCCATAAATCTGTGCGAAGAAACGTAATAGATCTTTCATCATTTCTTAGCACTGTTAAGATAACGATAGATGACTAGTTGAAGATGAAAAGAAAAACATATCTCAAAAAAAAATCATCATAAACTTGTGTGCTCCAAAAATTCACACGCCGAACTTACATTGAGAGCTCTGTATTTATTCCGAGTCAATTTCTCCGACGTGGATGAAACGGTAGATAAGAGACTACCCAGAGATTTCACACTCATTTTGCAAGGATTTTTTTATCTAGGGTTCGAGGTTTCCCATAAGCGCAAGCATCAATAGTCAATAACCTCCCCATAACATAAGAGCACTTTCGATTAAAGCTAATCATTAAGCAATGAATATGGCGTGTATAAAAGCAGCAAACTTTGGGTTTAATTTATAAAATTCCATCACTTTTAGCTTAGAGCAGATGATGGTAAAATAGTAAAAAACCTAATCAAGTACTCACAGTTTCATCGTCTCGAGTCATCATAGTCCCTAATCGACTTAGTCAAAGGATGTAGCCAACCAAACCTAACCAAATGATCTTTGTGAGCAATCATACGTTACATCATTTAATGGACCATCATAGATCTGGGATGGATGTTGTCCAAAGGGACAAATCTAAATCAAATGTAGTTAACCTAAAGCTTTATGTCAATCGAATATACGCTTAAAATTCACAATTCAAATGGTAGAAGCCATTGGAGAACATACGGGTTATAGTTGTGACTATAATTTAATGATGTTATTTGGCAACAAATCACATAATCATAAGGCTTTGATCGCAACCGCTGTTTTTGTGGAGTGTTGGACAAAATCACATTGACAGAAAACTCGAGAAACATCCATATTGTCGTGAAATTGCTTTAAATTTGAATATAGTGACAACTTGATATGATATTAATTTTTTTTGTGAGTTGAAATCAATAAAAAATTTGTCACCTTCAACAAATTGTTATAGATGGTGGAAAAATTTTGCTTTAGGCTTTGAAGTGATTGATCTTAAACTTAAATGGTTTGAAATTTATTTTAAGCCTTTAATTGATTGATTTTAACTTGAATATGTTAATTTGTTATTTTGATAACTTAATTTAAAAATTAATTTAAAATTTTACCTCTCCAATTAAGATCTTCAGTCAACACAACCATCATTGAGGATTTGTTTAATTGTTTAATTTGGAAACTATCGACTTCACATCTTCATTGTAAAGGATCAAGTTCAAAATTACACATGATTGTACAAGTATCGTGTCAAGTGTCCTACTTACAAAGAATCAAGTTTATAATACATATTAGGAAAATTTGCATACGTAGCACTTAATTCTTATGAATCTATGTATCTCACACTTAAAATTCCATATTTACAAACATAGCACTATACTTATGTATGAAAAAGATTTGACCATCAAAAAATGTAATTAGTTTTATTTTTCATGTGATACCAAGAAATTGGGTTTTATGCATATAAAAATGAAAGTTTTGGTGCAAGATACGTAAATTTAGAAGAATTGATTGCTATTTAGGTACATGCCCCTATATATTATTTACATTTATTCAATTAAACTTTTAAAGCTTAATTTTTAAAGTGAACCACTACGGCTAAAATATTTCATTACCTCGGCTATCTTTAAGGATTTAGATAAATTTTAACTTTGTTGATACTGTCTCGCTTACAGAGGATCGAGTTCATTACCTAAATCATTTGAGTTTACTTAAATATACTTTTGAAATTAATTTTGAAGATAGATAATTCCAATTGAAATCTTCTATCAATTCGAGCATCATCGCAGATTTAGACATTTAAAAATATTTATATTTGAACATTATTTGAAATTTGTAACTTGAATATTTCTAAAATATTAGTTTCATCAACATCAATCCTTATGAAGAGGATCAGATTAAGAGATTTGGACTTATAAATTTTTATACTTATTATTTGTATATTATTGACAATACTAGACTTTCCAACTCTGGCCCTTATGCATAATTAATTTATTTACTCATACAAGTTCTAAAAAT